TAAATATTATTACACACTAAAGCACTTGAAACACGGTCAAAACATTTCTCTCTTTTTTTTTTTTTTTTTTTTTTTTTAAAGAACTAAATAAATATTTGTTGCTGCTGTTATCAATAATGCATCTGTCTGTATAATCATAATGAATAAATTTTTGTATTGTATCAGGAGATTTTTAATTAATCGTTCGTCATAAAATTGACTAACTTCTTCGAGTGAAACTTGAAAACTGAATTTACTACTGCGTCTATGTAAATATCACCGATATTGTACGAAAATAAGAAGAAACGAAATTTAATAATCTTTACCAGATGTGTCTCATAATTCTTTGATTTTTGCACCTTTTTATTTTTGCCTCCCCCCTCCATGGCAAATGCATGTCACGCTGCTTACTCTATTTTGATGCTCACCTTTTAGAAAGCTTAAGGACGAAATTTGAGAGAAATTTCTATGCATTGAAGATGTCAATTTTCCTTGCTAGATCGCCCGAGTTGACGAAGAATGTATCAATGCGTTGTTAACGTTGGAGTACTTGAGCTTGTTAAGTCAAGTGATACCGAACGAGAGAAATACAGAAATTATTTATGGACAAGTCAGCCACTATGACGTGGGCAATAAACTGCCGAAAAGATACAACAAGAACACGAAGACCAACAGCTGCACCGTGGAGGAGTCGTGCGAAGGTCTATCAGCCATCGACGAAAGGATATATACGATGCACTTCTCTTTCGACACGTTGAACATATTGCCAAAGTGCCAGCAGGCCGAACTTCTCTTCTCCATGTTCGCCGATGGTAAACATTTCTGTTCGAATGAAACGAAACATGAGATGAGACTTGTGAACCTGACGAATCATTGTATTTCAAGGTACAGCTAGCAACAGGGACGATAAGGGACAGGGTAGCGCGAACAAGATATTAATGGACAACTTTCTAGGACACATGAAACAGTTACACAACAAGGAACTCCTGTTGACCTCCGCTGAGTCGCAAAAATTCACGAGAATGCTCCTCGACAGATGTCGAGCCGGCGGCCCCTCTTTACCATTCTTTTCCGAGAGAGGTATCACTGTCTTTCCATTGAAGTAGAAATTACACGAGTACTATCCCCTGTACATCTTTCGATCCTAAAAACCGTTTCCAGAGAGATTGTCTTCCAACGTCGAGCTCAACTCCTATCCGCGCTGGAAATGCTTCATTAAAGGGATTAGCACGACTCACGTGATCATCACGATATTACCCGCGTCCGAGAAAGACGTTGTACGCTTGTTCGCGTCAGCCTGCTCGAGTACAGAGGCACAGTCAACGAGCAACAACTCCGAGAAGCACGGCGAATCGGTTGCATTCAATGTAGATTCAAGCGAAAGTCAAAACACTTGCTCGAAGTGCTCCACGGCTGACATCGTCTCGATAGAAAATAATAACGAGACAGCGTTCTACGATCAGGCCATCGAGGACAGTGCGACAAACGCGCATATCGACACGCAGAGAGGATCTCACGATTGCGAGGAGTCGCTCGTTATTCCAGTTTACGTGTACGACTGTTCGCTGGCTCTGCTGATCGACACGTTGGTCGACAAGTTGAAAATCTCGCACAACAAGGACATTTATCAGGATCACACGTTCAGAGTTGGCCAGCAGGAGTGCAAAGATTTCATCGAGCTGAAGTCTGATTGTAACTCAAAGCCCTCGACCCCGGAACCAAAGAGCGAGGATTCCGACAATACTGCCAGTGGTGGGTGAAAATATAGTTTGTTAAGGTCAATCAAGACTGCTGTCGTTCTTGCACCTTTCAGTATTTGCCTTGGGCGCGAAGGACCACCCACTGATATGGGAATGAAAATGAAACTAATTTCTTGACTTGGAGCTACCAGGCTCAATAGTCAATAAAGTCATTCTTGCCCAAGCAAGAATTGCATTGGAGCTACCAGGCTCAATAGTCAATAAAGTCAAGTCAAGAAATTAGTTTTATTAGTTTATGTCTAACTGTAAATTACATTTGCCCAAGCAAGAATTGCATTGGAACCACCAGGCTTAATAGTCAAGTCAAGAAATTAGTTTTATTAGTTTATGTCTAACTGTAAATAACTGTTCGTGACTGACTGTAACGAATAACTATTTGATGTGGGAATAAAAATGAAACTAATTTCTTGACTTGACTTTATTGACTATTGAGCCTGGTGGCTCCAATGCAACTCTTGCTTGGGCAAGAATGTTGTACAAGTGACTGAATGTTGACTAACTCTGAATATCTAACTGTGAATAACTCTTCGTGACTGACTGTAACGAATTTGATGTGGGAATGAAAATGAAACTAATTTCTTGACTTGACTTTATTGACTATTAAGTCTGGTGGCTCCAATGCAATTCTTGCTTGGGCAAGAATGTTGTACAAAGTGACTGAATATTGACTAATTCTGAATGTCTAACTGTGAATAACTGTTCGTGACTGACTGTAATGAATAACTATTTGTGACTAACTAACTATCCTTCGAGTCCTACCCTTGTAACCTAATTGGAAAGCGGAGGATGTGTTAGAACCAATCAGGAGTGTGATAAAAATTCCTACGTCCTCCCATAGCCGCGAGTAACGTTTAGTGGGATGGCATTGTTAATAACATTCGTTCCTAGAAACTATCTCGTTTTTTACACACTCCTTCGAGTACATATTTATGACATGGTGATCCCTGTGGTGTGGAAAATCTCTTTGCACTTTAGACTGACCTAGATGTATGAGGCGCCTTGTCTGGAGATTTGAAGTGGCCCTTGCTCTGAATCTAAATACAAAGATGGTTTGGACGTTCCCACACTTAACATCTCCATGTCACAAGTGATACGTACCCTTGGTCCTAACACAGTTCATTGGCCTTTCGCGTTCAAGTTAATGTTCAACTTCTTTATAATGATAATTTTCTGTATGACAGATCAACGAAGCCTTGTGGAACATTGCAAACAATTGAGCTTGGCTCACTGTCATTGCTACGTGGTTGCAGTTTACAAGTCGCTGATATTGCAGCAACCACTCACTTACGACGACATGGAAGCCGCAGTGGAGCAATGCGAAGAAACCTTGATTGAAATTAATATAACGAATTACTTGCGGTCTGTGTGCAGGCATCTGAGCAAGTTGTCAGACAGAAACGTGTTAAACGAGCTGAATCCATCAGCGTGCAACGACGTTGAACCGTTGCACAACTTGATCAAGGAAAAATTCGAGAGGATAATCACGGTTGCGTTCAGGCCGGTTCCGGCGCATCCTGAATTTTATTACTGCTCGCCGTCCTGGTCGGAGAATGAAACGGTTCGTAATGTGATCTGTTAATTGTTCGAGCAACTGAACGAAATAATTGTATTTAACAGGATCTTCCGGAATTTCAAAAATCGGACAGCGAGGACGAGATAGAAAATCTTATGCTTCATTCGATGAACATCGATTCGACGTCACGCAATGGAAAAGGCAAGTCATTTCTTTTCATCGACATGGAATTGTAACAGCATTGCAAGCATTTCCTTCTTGAAATTCTCAAAGTTATATACGACAAACATATGCTATTAATATAATTGTTAGCACGAATAGGTAATGAACGATGAATAAACGTGTTGTTTATAATTTCACGATCAGGAAACGTAACGTGGCCAGGCAGAAATGTCAGCAATATGTCGAAAATTTCAAGACACGGCTCCGCGGACTCTATCAACAGCGACCTGCAGCAAAAGAGTGTCTTCGGGAGGGAGCAACCGTTGTTCTTACAGTTAAGTTGCTCTGTTCGATTCCAGTCGAAATCTGGCCTTAGTAGCATCCCCGTAAAATCCCTGCCAACGTGTTTCATGGAGATTCTGCAGAAGATGGAAGATCACAAAGACGAAGACATAGCGAGTTTGAGTTTGGCTGACTTGAAGATCACTTTGGACATCATTTGTTTAAATTTGCCAAGGGAGGTGCTGGAGATAAGTTTAGAACGATACTCTGGCTTAAGGGCAACGTCGTTCTGCAGCGGTTCACCTGTAGGTAGCCTGCGAACGGAAAGCGGAAGCAGCTTGGAGAATAATGCTAAAAACGAACTGTTCCAAGAAAAGATGTCTCACTTGCCTTTGTGCCAGCACAATGCTGTAAGCAATCTGAGGGATGAAATCGAGTGGCTCTTACAGGATGAAACTGCAACCGCGTTCCTCGACCAGCCCGTTATAAATGAAGACGTGTTGAACTTCGTTGCGAATCATGTTTCCGAGTCGACCGGCAGGTTCAGCTGCAAAGTGGAGAAAGTCCCTCTGTATTTCGTGTATCCCTCGAACGATAGCAAACCTAAATTTATAAGCGAGTTGAGGAAACTTCAGATCGACAAGTATTGCATCCGTCAAGAGGGGAGTTTGTTCTATTTTGTGAAAAACATAGAGCAACTGAACGAGACGAAGGAGTCAAAAATAAAGGACAGTATGTATTTCCCTCGAAGTCTGAAACTGAAAAGTCAAATACGACGTCAGTCAAATATTTAAATGTCATTGACATTCCAGATGTATGCAGTACTCCGGAAAATCTGGAACAAGAGAAACTGCAAGAGAGCACGAGCTCTTGCACAGAGAGCAATCTCGGTATACGCTTCAAATCACAGGAATCTCATTCTGACAGTAACGATCTGACACATGAGAGGGAAAATACCGAGGACGGATGCAAAGAGAGTAATACATCGGTGAACAGATTTCAATGGTTAATAGATCTTGATAATCGTAAAAGTTCCCTACCCAACTTTTGGTTGATCTTAAATGTTGAGAAAGATTCCGTCAGTGTCTACTTTCACTGCAGGTAAGTAATAATACTAAACTCTAAACCAGGACATGGATTATCAATTTTGAAATTGATATCGAGCATAAATTTTGTTTTAAAAGAATCGTGAATTAATCATTTATATCGTCAATAGGTTCTTAGAGATCATATCGCCCGAAGTAAGCAGTTACTGGCATACCCAGAAAACGCTGGTCTCTCAAATAAAGAGTACTTGTCGTCGAGTGAACCAATACCTGCTTTTGCAAAACCTTCACAAGACAAGCAAATGCTCGGAACTGTTGGAGACAGAGTCGAGCGAGGATTACAATTGGAAATCAGAGACGACGAGTGAGTTCAGCAACGTCGGGCAGAATCGAGACTCAATGCAGAATTTCACGCCGGGGATGTTCCGGTGCCGCGTCGTTTGGAAATTCACCTTCCGGCTGCATCCTCGACTGAAGACTGGCCCGGGAAGATCCGGCCTTTCCCGAGGCATAAAAGCTTTGCACGGCGTGCTTAACAGGTTTGCTGTTAGCAACCGGAGCAACATGTTCGTGTATCAAGAGAACAACAAGAACGTGTTCTACCTAAGACTGCACGAGCAAATCAGCGATGGGAAAGCTTTGCAGAACAAACTGTCGGAAAGCGACGAGCAGCTTGTCGTTTCTCGCAGCAACAGCGTGGTTTCGTTGTCGCAAGTCAAGCTGAACGATAACGCAGCGACGAACGACACGAGGCCCAGAGTTCGGTCATTCAGCGAGAAGGAATCAAACAGTTTAAATAAAACCGAGGACTCGATCATCTTGATGGTGCATGGAATCTCTGACGCTGGGCCAGAAGTTAAACGCGATTTGGTACAAGTTCTACAAAATCGCTTGGACGACGCGGTGTTGGAAGTTCTCTCGATTATGCTAGCGAGAAATCCAATGTGCAAATTGACACCCGCTGATGTTCATTTCATCCAGCCGCCAAAATCACCGGAATCCATCATACGGTTGAGCGTACAAAAGCATTGCACTCGGTACATAACCGCCTTGGAATTTTATTTGCGTCAGAATATACTTCAGTTCCTGTATATACCAAAGTACACTGACAACAGGCCAGAATATCATTTCCAAGACTACTCGCAACGCGAGGGATCTGCCAAAAGGATTTCGGAATCGGACATCTTTTTGTACAATCAAAGTCACTCCAGCGGGAGCAAAGGGATCGCTTGTATAGCATTAGCAATTACAGGAGAGCACGGTGAGCCCGTCAGATCGTTAGGAAATGAATCCCCCGGTGACAGTTTCCCTGAAACGATAAACTTGGAGGATTTCAAAAGTATCGTGTCGACGTCGATTCATGATAAGAATCCTACGGAATCGCCGCCTCTGATCGAGTTTAAAATATGGAAACAAGGCAGAGTTAATCTGGAATCTCTGTTGCAGAAGCTATGCTCTGCGGTGAAACATGCAATCTGGGACTTAGTCACGGAATACAAATTTCTGTCAACGCCACTGACAGAACCGTTTGTGGAAGGGTACACTCAGGAGATATCCGCTGAAAAGAAAGAGACCCAAGCAAGAATAATGCATGATCTAGCGATTGATCGATTCGAGGCAGGTGAAGAGGGGAAGTTGCACAGCATTTACTGCGTGACATTATCAAAGTGGTTTCGATTTGCTTTGGAAATCGGAGTACCGTCGGTAAAGAGGCATGAGATAATCCTTACTCACAGACATCCTATATCCACGATCATTGCAGAATTAGAGGCTCTGATACAGAGTCAAGCACCGGATACATCCAGCAGAGCTTTTGTTTTGAAAGACAGACAACCATTTATCGAAAGGTATATCTCAAATGAAGAATTATTGACTGGACTTAAGAAGAACAACTACTCCATGCTGGGAAATGAAGGGAAGTTAGACTTGCCCGTCTACATACCATGTGATTTTAGTAAGGATGTGCAAGGAACTTACACTAAATGTATTTTAATAGCTAGAAACTTTCATCAATGGAAAGCTTCATTCAGCAGCACGGTACAGCCAGAATTACTTATCCCAAAAGGTGCTACCTATTTTATTGCTATATATCTTTCTGAGATTAAAAATATTTGTTCAATTTCTACGATAGCTTTTAATATAATTTTTCTTTATTGTAGATCAGAAGCTTCTGCAAAAGTTTAATCCTTTGATATTAGAGTCTAATTTTGTTTCAAGACAACGAATATTACTTGCTGAGGTTCGGAGTGATAATGTAAGTTATCATTTATGGACGATTAAAATAATAATAATAAAGTATTTTTATTCAATCATTCTAACAATTAATTACAAATGAAATTATAATCGCAGATAACTCTCTACATGTATAATTGGTCAAAAGAGAAATCGGAGAAGCTAATAAAACAAACTATAAATCTGGGCACGTGGCTGTCATCAAGATCAAACTTTTTTACAAACGTAATAATGCAGAAATTAGGTATATTCCATCATCGACCGAGTCTTTCGAGAGAGCACGCGAGCTCGCAATATCTTCAAATTATGGACATGGAAAGTCTCACGAAGTTCTCTGCTGTGCCCCACAACGACGGGAAAGATTGGACGAGATTGAACAGCAGAACGCAAAATATAAAGCACAATCAATTCTCATGGAACGAAGTGATCGGTCAAACAATGCGCGACGTGAAGCCCAATAATTATTTCCATAGCAATATGGACCCGACCGTGAAAGCTGTCTGCGATTTACAAGATTTGCGATCGCGCGAAAGAAAAGTCAAAGGTAAATGAAAACGCGAAATTCACTACTACTTGCTACTGAATTGAAATTAAACATAAAATGGTATAATCAAATTTTCAAGCTTATTATTATACTCACAGAATTGTTTCCCAATTTTTCAGAGGATTTGAACAAGTTATATGCAATGTGGCAAAATCGTAGTGCTGCCCCGAATATTCCGATCTCAGTCACTGCTCTAAATACTTTCAAGCAATATTCTCGTTTAATTCATTTCTGTCACACACCACTGTTGTTTCTACCTTCCTGGCGTCTACAATCTGCGGCTACGAGAGATCACTCGCTTTCCGCCCAGTCGTCTCTAAGCACAGGCATCAGTCTATATCAACAACTGTCACAACAAATGCAAAAAAATCAAAATGAACAAACAAATATCATAAAGTGGCATAAAGAATTATGCAGTTTGATGTTATCGGAATATAAGCAATATCTTCACTCGTTAGGTTTTAGTTCAGTGCAAATAGAATCATCAGATAAGAGGTAAAATGAAATTTAATACTAAATTTAATTTATACTTTAAAATAATTTATTACTTAATTTATATTTATTATATTTAAAATAATTTAATACTTAATTTAATTTAATACTAAATTACAAAATAAAATTTAATTACTGTTATTTAATTATTAAGTTACCTAAAAACGAAATCCGATAGTTTTTTGATTTTTTGAAAGAATTATTTTACAGAATAATATTTTCTAATATTACTTTTCAGTTTCGAAGGAACAGCTCAACAACAA